AGAGAGAGAGAGAGAGAGAGAGAATTCTTCTATCAATCACTTTATTAAATATCAAGAAAATAAAACACCATTATATCTAAAGTATCTTTCTTTTTGAACAAATATTATGCTTGGTAAAGATTGAAAAACTTGACATTGTATAATGATGAGAGTGGTGTACTAGACTATCGCTACTTTAAAATCATTTGCGTGCTCTTCATACGAGTTATTGACACACGGAAAATATTTGATCTACCTGCATATTGTAAATCGCTTGTCTCATCAAAAAGAAGGCGATACATATTCATCATCTACTTTCAGAACGCGTGGCTAAGACTACCTCTATCGAAAAGAAGACGATGGATATAGAGGAGCGTGGTGTTCGGCTCCGTCTGACAATCGTAGACACTCCAGGTGAGAAGTATCGTCAAATTAGATTTCTTTTGTATTTCATTGAAGAAATAATAGTCACATAGAGATACTGTAAAAATATTATATACTAGCTAGTAATACAAAATAATTATACAAATAATGATACTTTGAAGGATTTGGTGATGCGGTCAATTGCGAGGATACGTGGAAAGCATGTTCAGCTTACATTGACGAACAATTTCGTCAATATTTTACGGATGAAAGCGGCTTAAATAGAAAAAATATTCAAGACAATAGGGTTCATTGTTGTCTGTATTTTATACCACCTTATGGCCATGGGTATGTGTAAAAAATAGATATTTTAATAAATTTTATTTTAAAAATACCAAATTTTTTGCCGCAAATTTAGTATCTTTCGATAATATTCAATAGAAATCTAGGGTAAAGTCAAGCTTAATTATTGTTCTTTTTTTAATATTAAGGATTATTTATTTATAGTCTCAGACAATTAGATCTCGAAGTATTACGACGTTTACATCGGAAAGTTAATGTTGTTCCTGTAATAGCAAAAGCAGATACTTTAACTACTCAAGAAGTGAAAAAGCTGAAAGAACGTATTTTACAAGATATTGAGGAGCACGAAATTCAGGTAGCGTATTAAACTTCTCTCTTAGCGCGAGAGAGAGCAATCTTAATAAATTACATACTTTAAACGTTTTAAGAAATTTTACATAATGTTTAATGTACTTCTCTAATACCTTTTATTCCTATATCATACAGTTAATTTTTGTCTAGATATATCAATTTCCGGATTGCGATAGTGACGAAGATGAGGAATTCAAACAGCAGGATAAAGAGTTAAAAGCTTGCATACCGTTTGCAGTCGTCGGCAGTTCGACAGTTCTGGAAGTTGCGGGAAGAAAAGTTCGCGGTCGTCAATATCCGTGGGGCGTAGTAGAAGGTGACTTTATATTCTACATAAAATTAATAATTTTTGATTATACTAATTTCATCTACGATATAAGGTGAGTATAAAATTGAAAACAGTTAATCTTTCAACAAACATCTATCGACATGAAAACAAATGATCAATTCACTAAAAATAAATGATCGGCTTGTAATAAAACTCATTTAACTTGTAATAAAAACTCATTTGATCGTCGAAGAATGTGATCCAATTATCATTAATATAAGATAAATCTTCTTTAATATAACTATTATTATTATACTATTTAAAAGAATTACGCGTTTGAATTAAAAATTTCATAAGTTCGCTTCAGTACAATACTATCAAAGCAATCATCGATTCACATCAGAAAGGATTTGAAATACTTCTCATTAGAAGCATTCGTCTTCACTTTTTATTCAGATTGTCAAGTAAGAAGCAAATCATAATACTAAAGTGGTAAAAAAGATTTTGACTTAAGGTCTTTGGTAATTATGCAGTTATAGGAAACACCTCCCAATTTCGATAATTTTGACATATGTTATCATGGTCATTCCCCTGAATAATACTATAAAGGTTTTAGGCGTTCGTTGTTAGTTAAACTGTTATTAACAAAATTATTTAATGAATAGTATGTATTTAAGTGCTATCGTATATAAAATAAATGCTGGTACATATGTATTTCATATGTTGTCAAAAACACTCTCCTGAGTAGTCTTGAAGTGGTTTTAGCCATCGCTTATTGTTCATTAAGAAGTTATTAATAAAAAATTAATCACACAAATACTTGTTAGAACCCAATAAAAGTTGAAAATTTGGTAAACTATAAACCCATGTGGAATCTCGCTTTGTGGAAAGAGAAGCTTCACTATCAAAAAACTAGACACATAAATTTGGAACCTCGCTTTGCATGGAAAGTTGTAAACTTATGTGGAACCCTGCATCGGTTTTAGCTTGTCGTAACGAGATTTTTTACATATTTAATTTTTTACGGTTTTGAACTTTCTATGCAAAGCGAGATTCAATCATGGAGCTTTCCGTAAGAGAAGTCTGCCTCCACATACACACTTTCCACGCAAAGCAAAGTTCCACATAAATTTATGTTTTCCAAATTTTCATGTCATATAATTTTTGTTTTTGCTAAATAAATATAATGACAAATAATTACATTCCACTTTTCAAACTTTTTCTGATAATAACTTTTTAATGAACAACGACCGCCGGCTAAAATCTTCACAATATTACTCAGAATGATAACCTTGATAACATATATCAAAATTGTAGAGATCGGGAGATGGTCCCTATAACTGCATATTTACCAGATCTTTTTTTTTTTACGAGAATAAATCAATCAGTGGCATTAATTAGCGTACACGAAAGCTGAAGGGGTTGAGAATCGCATATAAAGCACACCTCTGGCTTTCGCGCGCCAGTGCTCGATCTTTAATGTCACGATTCTGGTTGATCATAGTCGAGAACCCGAAGCACAGTGACTTCGTCAAACTAAGGACAATGCTAATATCGACGCATATGCAAGATCTAAAGGACGTCACGCAGGACGTTCACTACGAGAATTTTCGGGCCCAATGTATTTCACAAATTTCGCAGCAAGCGATCCGGGAACGGAGGTATTTACGCATGTAAATAAATATTGCATTTCAGTAGGTATAACATACGGACGCTTAAAGCGCGTTCGCAATGCGCACAGGATGTTTCAAAAATAAACCGTAAATGGAATATTATTATCTTTACCGTATTAGTTTTCAAGTTTTTATTACTTCACAATATGTTCACAATACGTTGACTTCACAATGTGTTGGTCACTTGAAGAGCATGATTGTCTTTCGAGAATCCTGTACGCTTTGCATGATTATTGCAAATTATTTGTCAAATAGTTTTTATCTAGTTTGATATGATTCTGATACTAGTACGATAATCCGATCAAGAGGTATCATATTAATTTTTATGTTTTTGTAAGTAAACCTTGAGATAAAATATTTCTTTCAAAAAACTGCACGATATCGTTTCTTTTCACATAACTTATATATGCTTCAACTGCATTTAATAAATACTTTATCAGTCTCATTTTTTTTTAATGATAAAGTTTGCTACATATAATCTTTTTATCTCTTTTTACAGTAAACTTAAAAGAGATTCTGGACCACACTTTGAGAACAGTATATCCGACACAGACAGACTTCTTTTGCAGAAAGATGAAGAGGTAAGAGATGTGTATATTAAATTATCCGCATTGCTACCCATTAACTTATGTTTGTGGTTTACAGATACGCAGGATGCAAGATATTCTGGCGCAGATGCAAGAAAAGCTCAAAGCAACCGGTCAAGTCGGCGGTGGGGTCGGATTGAGAGGTCGTGTGGGCAGCCTTGGCAATGATTTGGATTCTGCGGATGTGGAGAAGAAACGAAACAGTATTATAGATGTTTAGATGCGTATTTTCTTTTCTGAAATATATTCAGAATATAAGATTTCTCTTTTTCTTCGGGAGGTCTGTACATAATTCGTTCAATTTCTTGCGTCTCTTTTTACAGACTATTAAATTTTCGAAGCCAGAGAACTTCTCACCAAGTCACAGCACGATACAAGTTTGTCATTATAACAATTTTTAACACGTTGAATGTCGGAAGTCATCCGTGACCGGCGCTGCCATAAGCATCACATTATAAACAATTCCTTCCGGCGCCTTGTGTGTGTGTGAGCAAATCATATAAAATTGGTCCGGCATTCAACATGTTAAATTATTATGTATTTATATAATAAAAATATTTTTAAACAATCAGTTATTGTTACAAAGCTAAAAAAATTTGTTTATTTGCTTACTAATAAAGTGAAAGTAGGGTTAAAGATTATTTTTGTTTTGTTATGTACGTGCTATTACAAAACAAGATATATAAAATAAACTACAGCTGCCAAAAATTAACAAGTGCTTTCTCGCCAAATGTTCAATCAAATCGAGGTTGTACAGATCTGTCGATTACACTTTGCGATAGGTAAACGTCAAAATCTATTTTGTATAGTTTCTCTTATAAAAAATATATATATAATCTATAATATGTATTATTATATCAACAATATACATGTGCGTAATCTACATAATTGTGAAATATGTATAATAACAAGTGTTCGTTGCAAGACTAATGTATAACAAAATATAATCGCACATGCACTGACATCAATAAAATATCTACTAATTATTTAATTAGTTTTTTGTCTAGTCTTTTAAAACGACAATTATGGTATCAAATATATGTCAATGAACCGTGAAAGATATAATAAGTAGTTATAATTAACGCTATATAATACGCACAAAATATAATTATGCGATTATGTAAGATTATATATATATTATAATGTACGCGAGAAATTGTAGAAGAAACAAACACATATGTTTCTACAGTAAGTATTGCTAAAGAAAACACTGTGTAGATGTTTTATAAATAAATATAATAATATCGACCATAAAAGTAATCAGCCAATTAAAGTCTTAATAATTATTTTTTTCAAATTTCATTATATATATTTATCTTCCTCCTATTTATTGTAAATATTTCCTCCTAATATTTTATTGCATATATATTTTCCTTCACATACATATATGTATATTATTTGTTTACCTTGCAACGGCTTCTATTCCATGATATTTACTTATCAATAATATATAAATATAATCCAATTACCTGAATTGTGCCGACTTTGTTTAAAGGCGACTAAGTGTCTTGATTGCAGATTTCTTCAAAAACAATGTGTTGTAAAGCTTTGATACACATGCGCGATATAAATACACATTTTGTTTGCATTTATTTTGGAGTAGCACTATTCGCGGATAAATTTATTTTGACACATTTCGCCACTCTGCGCCAAAGATGCCCGTGAATAAAGTATAGTCGAAAAACAATAAAGGCATGCCGCGACAAATTTGAACGATTGTTTCGAACACTTCCGAGTGCTAACATCAAAATTTGCAATATTTGCTGTGTCATACAATATTGTCTCTAGAGCATTCACTGCTAATATTTATTATTTTTACTTTCGTCGTTTTATTCGACTTGAAATGAAATCTACGATAAGATACGCACAACGTTACTCGGACAGCGTCAGCAAACCTATGCCTATGCACGAGGTTTTGGTTTGGTGCAACTGCAGGGTTCTTCTTCTTCTTTGCATAAATGGCGCACGCCTCTGCATGTGAGGAGGACATATATGTAATACTCCTATATGGCTAGTTGAGCAAGTTTTCCATAAGCGGGACTTGTTCCAACACTGAAGGATAGAAGATAGATGCTTATTGGCTCTCCAAGAAAGAGTAGGAGGAGTGTTCAATAATTGGTAATGCGCAAGCGT